CCTGCTGCTCTCATGAGGGTCATTGTCGCCGGGACTGATGGGTGACACTGTGGGATGATCGATACTCTTATCTGGTAAATCTATATGATCCACACCGCCTTTGAGAGTGTCAGAGTTTATAATGCCGTTGTGTGAAAAATCATTAGGTTTAGCCCCATCTTCAGGAAGTGTTGGAAGACGGAGGATTCTAGGACATAATTTTTTTATTTCTTTCATCTTTTTCTCGTCTGTTAAGATATAATTTGTAATATATAATGAGGTCATTTGCTTTAGTCCACATTCTTCAGAGGCATATTTATCGCCGTTATGACCATAAAGTAACTTCAAAGTAAGAATATTTCGATATTTCTTCAGAGGCTGTCTATTTACACCACTTATTTGACTGGAGGCAGTGGTGGAGGCTGATGAAGGAGTGTTGTGGAAGATCCGTGTTGGTTGTTGGAGTGATGGAGCGCTGGACTTACCCGATGGTGGCGACCTTCTCTTCGTCGCCGTTGGCTGGCTAGTGTGATGGGGTGACGGAGGGAAGGTTCTCTCGTGTACTTCATCTCTCTCGATGCTTTCCTCTGAGCCGTGAGGGTGTGGCTTATAATCACCTTCTGACAGCGAGACTAACACGAGGAGAACTACACAGACTTTAACGGAGAGGATTTCGCTCTTCATGATTGTTTCACCGAGTTAATCATTCACGAGTGATAACATTAACACCGTGCTGTCTCATAACATTAATACGTATTAACTCATATCATCAACATGTGTTACTTGATACAATTAAGACATATAAACTCTTTTACACCACTATGGTTTAGATGTTACCGTTATATATATTAAGGAGAAATCATAATGCATGATGCCCAGCTTGGTGTAGTGAGGTCAGTTACTCACAGCAGTCCCAGGACACTGTTAGTCGTGGGCTGGGGGTCATGGCTATAATGTTACCTAGTAAAGTCCAGAAACTCTCCTCAGTTATTTTGGGCTTCACAAGGTTAATGTTTCGCCATATTAGCATTCCCTTAAGTTAGTATCAATAAGTTGGTGTCTCGTAAAGCTGTTGTCTCGTGAGTTGACGTCTAGCAGAGGTGCAACCTTCGAAGTTCGCGTCTTGCAAAGTTGCCGGCTTACGAAGGGCCCAAGAGGCAAAGGGTTACAGGAAGTTCAGGTCAGGAAGTGTGGAAGTGCAGACAAAGTGACCTGATGCCGTAGGCCAGGTCAAGGTGTGGGCAGTAGCGGACAAGGTGCTGCAGATAAGTTCGTGTGATACTGGTTGGCTTACCTGTGGGTTGGTGGCGAGACGCTCTTATCTGTGCGTACGAAACACACATGCGTCCCTCATCCATGAGCGCTTTCCTTGTGCGTTCTCTAGATAGGTACACACACAGGGATTGAATTAACTTGGACATGCGGAAATTAAACATGCACATGCATAGTATACATCAATTGGACAGATATACTCTATATTCATTGGATACAGGTTGGGGACGTGCGCACAGTGGGTACAGATGACTACACTGGACATAAGAGTATGCCCACATGATGATCACTCATCAGTTTTGTTTTAATGGTTATTAATTTTTAAGGATCACATTAAAACTTGTCCCCCAGCTTATTTCACCTATGATTAAACTATATAATCTCACTTAACGTATAACCCCCCAGTTAATTGGGGTGTTTAATCATTAGATGAAATAAACTGTAATAAATCATTAAATCATGGTCAATATACCAGAGGAAGGGATGGAGGGGTGAGTGAACTTACTGCTGTTGTTACGTCACAGGTGAGAAGGTTAATGTGGGAACACCTCACCCACTCTTCATCACTTGCTGTTGACGCACTTAAGTGCTGTAGACTGCCACTACACCTGTTATGTAAACCACACACACACACAGCACTACTATAATCAGTATCGTCATAAAGCTATTTATAACCCAAGGTTGACGGTGATGGAGTGGAGCCCTCGAGTGTGTGTGGTCATGAGCGAGGTAACACGACGCTAGGAGAGTAAACCTCCATGAACTTAAACCACCAGGAGAGTAAACCTGAATGAACTTAAACCACCGGGGGAGTAAACCTCCATGAACTTAAACCACCAGGAGAGTAAACCTGCATGAACTTAAACCATCAGGAGAGTAAACCTACATGAACTTAAACCATCAGGAGAGTAAACCCGCATGAACTTAAACCATCAGGAGAGTAAACCTAAACCTCTATGAACTTAAACCACTACCATGAAGATAAACCACCAAATACCCACCTCAAAAGAGAGACCGCCCATATCCTTATCTTAGTGTGTTTTACGTGGCGTTGCTGCATACTACCTTGTCAGGCTGGTAGACGTCGGATAAAATCTATTATGACACCACCGAGTACCCAAGGAGGTATATTAAACACCCTTTTCCCCCACCTTTCCACCCTTTCCTCTTCCCTCCTTTCCTCTCATTTCGTCTCCAGTATCCAAGAACTGTACAACGGGAAGCTCAAGATTACCACGTTTGTCACAGGTCTTGGTTGGGTGTCTCTCTGAGGTTTGTGTATTGTTGATGGCATGGTGACTGTGTAGAATGACTGTACTTTGTTTTGTGTTTTCTTTTGTTTACCTCAAGATTAGACCCGAGCTTATTTCATTTGATAATTAAACACCCCTATGCTACCTGAGGGGTGGGGGTTATGGTTAAGATGAAGTTAAGCTATGTTAGGTTAGGTTAAGTTAAGGTAGAATAAACTGGGGGGATAATCTTCAGGTGGTGTCTGTTTTCACGTCTCCTCCGCTGCCATATTTACTGTCCTATATACACAGGTCACTTAAGGAATCGCGTCTGTAATCAAGTGAACCATTGGCAGTTCTTTGCGTGATTTTTCATGGTTACAGCAGGTTGGAGTTCAGGTAGAGTTTGTCACACAGAAAACTGGGACCGTGTAAGTAGAGAGTGAACCTTTAATACTTCAACTTAACTAAGATTTCATATATTTATGTCCATTAATAAATTTAGACACAAATGCATCTAACGGCATATAAAGAAAAACAAGAAATTTCAAGACAAGGAAAAATGACTTTGAATATTTAGTTTTGGTTTTGTTAAAATAAGATTCCATGAAGATTAGGAACCATCCGCTTGTTTTAACTGATGATTAAACACCATATCTAAGTGGGGTGGTTAGGTTAGGTTAGAGCAGGTTAGGTTAGGTTTGGTTTGGTCTGGTCTGGTCTGGTCTACCACCCTCTGATGAATTATTTCCTTATACTGTGCATGATAACTTGGGGAGCAAGTAGTTATGTCCCCTCGTGTTGGTGGTGCGTGACATCACAAAAAAATAGCCCAGGTTCACGTTTTCCATCTCTCAGGATTTTGAAAGTTTCAATGAGATCTGCCCTATTGTGCCTTGTGTGAAGGGTTGTTAGTCCTAAGGCCCTCACTCTACTTGGATAATCGAGATGAAGTAATTCCGGAATCATCTTAGTCGCTCTGTGTTGCACCTTTGCTTGAGATGCCTGTATACGGTAATCTAGACTCTTTCTTTAATGCAGTATTGTACTCAGGTATTTTTGTATAGTAAAACGTAATTACTATTGACCTCAGAATATCTCCTAATATCAAGTGCACATGACTTCAAAATTGCCTCAAATTGCCCATGATATTGGAACAGGAACAAAAACAAACGCATTTGAACTAAGTTATATTTAGTTCTGAAAACAAACTTACTAAAATCAATACTTTATCACAGAGAGTTGTACAAAAGTAGACGTCATACAGTACAGTACATAGAAAACTTAAGCCTATTTACAACTGTTATTATTGTTAGAGAACTGTAACTCTTATATTACAAAAACTGACATCACAACTCATTAAGTTGTGAATATATATATATATATATATATATATATATATATATATATATATATATATATATATATATATATATATATATATATATATATATATATATATATATTAAAACAAACATTCTGCATTATTATACAATCAAGTTACACACGGTATTGTACAGTATTTGGTTGTTAATTTGAAATAGTGGTTGTGTGATTTGTATCAGACTTCAAGCTGTGGACATTATTTAGAAACGTGGTGGACCCTTGTATAGCTGTCTTAGTGTCTTATGTGGAGTAGTTCTTGACCAGGTAAATTTATCCCGTTATATATGTTATCGTGACGTTTATTCGTCATTACATGTCTGGTATAGATCATTGTAAGTGTTTAACTCTCAGAATTAATTATTTCAACATGTTTAATTCACATATATGATCTACAATGTATTTTTCGTGGTGTTGCTTTGCCTTAGGACGGCAGGGCCAATTTGACCTGGTAACAGACAACAGTGCGGTAGTTAAAGTACGGGTGTTTTGTCTCTTGTGCGTAATGGAGAGACGTGTTTCAGTTTGGAGTTATGCACACAACTATCATTCATGCCGTAGAGTTAAACAGTTAACTGATTGTGGTTGTAGACACTTACTCTTCTAACCAGCTGGTGGTGTGGTGTGGTGCGGTGTGGTGTGGTCTGATGTGTTGTGGTGTGGTGTGGTGCGGTGTGGTGTGGTCTGATGTGTTGTGGTGTGGTGTGGTGTGGTCTGATGTGTTGTGGTGTGGTGTGGTGTGGTCTGATGTGGTGTGGTATGGTGTGTGTACAGACGGACTTATCACAGTAAACAGCTACAGTATCTGAGAGCCGTACAGTACAGTAACACCAAGCCTTATTATCACTCACAGACACACCTGTTGCTCTCATTCATACGTTTGTCTTTTGTTTTGCTTCTACGTAAACTAAATAGACGAACTACATAACTCACCCTTAATGTAGACTATATTTAATTGAATGTAAAAAATAATGAAAAAGAAACAATATAATTAATAAAGTTATAGATAAATGTTATAATTAACTTATCAGGTTTTTTTATCATCACTTTAACTCAAGGTCAAAAACAATTATTTGATCAGCGTGAACCTTCAATTCCCTCACATGTTCTGGTTCACCCACCCTCCCTCCCTCCCTCCCTTCCTTCCTTCCTTCCTTCCTTCTGTAACCTTCAGGTCTTCAAGTGTAAAATGTGGGATTACCCTTGCTGCCTTCATGGGCCACAAATATAGTTTTAGATAAAATATGATAAAGGAAGAAGAATGATACGAGAGATAAAGGGTAAAAGAACAAGAAAGGAGGAAATAATATACCAAAACCAAAATAGAAACGATAAAAAGAATGGAAAAGAAAGAACGAACAACACTGAAAAGAAAAACAATGCAAAAATAAAGGGATATATAGAACACAAGAAATAAAAAAGAAACATATATACAACAAATGAAAAAAGGAAGAACGAAAATAAAGGTAACGAACAGAAGAGGAAAGAGAGGGTAGTTGGTGATCCGGGGTCAGGTCATGGTAGTATCTTGAGCTCTGCAGTGCGGCGGTGACCTCTAGTATGCTTCCTGATGAGGACCAGGTCATGCAGGGTCAGCCCTCGCCACGTCCTTAATCCCTTCATCACGTGGAGGTTCTCACACGTGTCTACCATCAGCTTAGCCGCCGTTAACCCCAGCACACAGTTGTACAGCTCAAGCACCTGTCATGTTTGGGTGGGGGAAGACATGTGTTAGTCACCTGTTGGGTTGTATTTGTTAACTGTTGGACACGTTTAATTTACCTATTTGGAGTTGTGTTTGTTAGCTGTTGTATTTATGTTAATCACCTGTTTCGTTCGTGTTCGGTACGTGTTAATCCCCTCTGGAAGATGTGATAGTCATTTGTTAGACATGTTGGTTACCTACTGGACACGCGTCAGTCACCTGTTGGGTAGTGCTAATCACCAATGAAGGATAAAAGGGAAGTCAATGGATATGTACTGTACAGTCGGGGACAAAAGTTCACTCTTGGTGGTGAAACTGAGTCACGGGAATGAGTCTCCTAACTGACTCACCCTGACTGTCATCTGGTGCGGGTGTGTTGTTTGATCTCATTCGCGGTCGACGCTGCTGTGTTTTAGGAGGGAAAGAACTCTTGACCCCGACTGTACCACCAAATTCAGCCCCCTGAGTACAGTGTCATCGTAACAAAGGTATAAAACAGTGTAGTCAAGGGGTTAGGTTCTCTTACACAGCTAATTCATTGTATTCAGGGAGTTGTTATCGTTCTCAGGGGATTACCTATGAAAGGGATAGTTAGACTACCGTCATCAAAAGGTCATATGATCGCCATAAATGTTTGAATCATATACATAAAGAGTTAAATCATAGTCATAAAGGTTTAAATCATATACATAAAGGGTTAAATAATAGTCATAAAGGTTAAATTATAGTCATAGAAGGGTTAAACCATAATCGTAAGGTTAAACCATGGATATAAAAGGGTTAGAAACTATCGTCTTAAAAGGGTTAAATCATCGCCTTCAAATACTCAAGGATCACCTCGAGGCGTTTCATCCTGTTTACAGCCAGAATCTCGAGGAGGTCGTTCTCGACGAGGGTGGTAGGACGACACACCAGCCTCCGCAGCAACACACACTTCTTGAGGGCGGCCACTAGACCCTGACGCACCAGGCAGAAGTCCTTAGCCCACGCCTTAGGTCCCACGCCCGTCATGCAATCCAGCTCCAGCACCTGAGGGAGTCATGTGTGTCAGTATACCATGAGAACTTGTTGTGTGTTAGGTAAAAATGTCACGAAAATATCGGGTGTGACGTATGATACTCTGAGAACTTGGTGTATGTTAGGTACCTGTTAGACCATAAGAATATGTTGTATATTATGCAAATATATCTTGAGAACTATAGTTATGTGAGATGAAACCGATGTCAAACACAGGTGTTGGCGATGGGCAGGTGTTAAACATTTGTTGAAACTTGGCAAGAACATTGATATACTGAAGATGTTTAAGGAGGAAATTGTATTATATACAGGTGGTAATTATATCAACAAAAGACTCCTTTAAATTACTCAATATCCAGCTCTAATTATGGATTACATGACCCAGACCTTTGACCTTTTATCTCAAGAACACAGCAGTTAAGGATAATCATGGTCAGAGTTCCCTAAAATGCCTTAAAGAACCATTGTTTATGGTACGCAAGTTACGGCTTACTTCCCTCTGTGTGGAAATCCATTTTAATCTAACTTGCCATATTTATAAAAACAAGTCGATTGCAAGAGTACAATCCTCCACCGCCATAGAAACGAAACGGATCAGAACTCTGCAAAATATGAAGGAAAAACACGAAATTATTAAACTCGCCTAAGATATCGTTGGTTTACACCTGCTGCGGACAACGTTTCATTAAGACCCATTGTTGTTTGTTTGAGTTATCTGAACACATTTCAGAACCACCTGCGCCTCGTCGGTGTGTTGTAGTATATACCAACAACTGACGTAAACACACAGCTAGTATATCTGTAGCAGAGGAGTCATACCCCTTCGTCAGTAGTGTTGTTGGTGACTTAGCTGACTTGTGTTGAAAAGTTTAGTTTCTACAATTATTCTGTCAGTGTCTATGTGCCCCCTCCGTGCCGATCCCACCACAGCACAGTCCCCAGCCGTCACCAACACCCCTTCCTCCTGACCAAATATCCCTCCTCCTCCAGACAGGCCTGGCACTTGACTTATTAAGGACCTGCCACGCCTTGCCATGAACAGATGAACTATACCGACAATTCCCCCCCACACTCCTCCTCCTGTCACTATATGTAACTTGCCGAGTTAACCCATGACCATTCAGGCACTTACGCCCTTAATGCATAAGTCAGGAACTGCGCATTCTTCCCTGTTCGGCGCTGTAAACGCTTTTGCGCTTCGTCTTGCACAGGATGCAAGGGGGTGCCCAATAAACTAGCCCCCTCGCGAGTAAATCTTAAAAAAAGAAATGATGTATATGACGTTGTTAGGCTTGGTAAACTTAACTGACACACACACACACACACACACACACATATATATATATATATATATATATATATATATATATATATATATATATATATATATATATATATATATATATATATATATATATATATATATATATAAGGTGCATGATTTCAGGAGATATTTAGTCTCCATCCATTGATCCTGAACACGTATTAATATATATGAGTAGTGAGGGCAGAGCAGTTCTCTCCCCCCTGCCCAACTGTTCGTCCCTTCCCCTCTGGACCGACTCTCCCTTTCCTCCCTCTCTCCCCCCTCTGGTATTACTCTTCCCCTCTCTTTCAGGCTCGACCCTCTGCTTCCTTCCTTTCTTCCCCATGAGGACTAACCTTCCCTCTGACCTAACCCTCCCCCTATTGAGTGACCTTAAGCTTGGTGAGGGCGATGCTGTCCTTGTTGGTGAGGGTGGTGAGGGAGTCCTTGGCGGGGACGGTGACGGCGGGGAGGGCAAGCTCTTCCAGGTGGGGACAGTTGCCCGCCAGTGCCCCCAGGTCCGCCTCCCAGTACACGTCGCCCTCCACCCTCAACGTCACCAGCTGTGAGCCCACCGCCCACGAGAACTCGTACATGGCTGTAGGGGAGAGTAAATAAGGCTCCCGCACCGAGAGCCGCAGGTGTCGTAAGCCAGGGAGAAGGCGGAGGTCGTTGATGGTGACGCCAGCGAAGTTGATGATGGCGTTGATGTTGATGAGCGCCGGACACGCGCGGCGCAACAGCTGCAGGTTACCCACAGTCACACAGCGCACGTTGACCTCCTCCAGGGCCGTCACCACCCCCGCGTCCCCCAGCTCGTCCATCATCTTGAGGGCCTCAACTACGTCCGTCGACCCGAGGCTGGTGAGCTCTGGTACCCGGGTCAGGAGGGCACATACACCCTCTTGCGTCACGCTGGTCTCCCCCACGTCTATGTGACGCAGCCGCACCTCCGAGTCCTCGCCTCCTCCCCACCGCAGGTTGACGATGATGCGGTTGATCCCGTCGTCAGTGACGCCTGCGGACCCCGACACGTCGAGGTGCGTGAGGAGGCGGCAGTGTCGCGTGAGGAGAGTGATGGTATCATCGGAGGCGTTGGCGAGGCGGACACGACGGAGTTTCTTACAGGTGCGACATAGATCAGTGAAAACCTTCTTGACGGTGTCTGTGAGGAGCGGCGGCATGGTGAGGACGAGATGTGTCAGGCCGTCACCGTTGTATAGTATTAACTCTATGTCGAGGGGCCAATCAGAGGGAGTGGGGCCGGGGCGGGGCAGTGTGACGTACACAGGCTCCACCACCGTCACCTCGGGGGTGAGCAGCACCAGGGCACGGTTGATGGCCGCCAGCTCCCTGCTGCCGTGCTTCAGGTGGAGTCCGCCCGCCTTGAGGGCGTTGTGTACCATCATGGCCCGCAGGTCTCGGGGCAAGTCTTCCAAGAACCTCTGCACGGCGAATACTTGCTGTTTGGGCACGTCTCGTCGCAGTACGTACTGTACGCGCTCCAGCCAGTACTTACTGCACATTTGTTTGAGGGTTATGACGGTCGGGGCCACAGAGGGGGGCGGGGCTGCCCGGTGAGGCGGCAGAGGCAGAGACTCCTGGTGCCGTGCTAGTGCCAGCGGCAGCCGCGGCGCATACATGTTCACCAACGCCATCGCTCACCACAACACTCACCACCACTTTCTAAGTTTTGTTCTATATTATTGTTAAGTAATTGTTTCATATGTCACACTAACAGCAGGCGGTTGTCGATACTTCAGGAGCACCACACAACACTCTGACCACAACCCTACACTCTCTCGCCTCACCACCTCACTTATGCCACACATGACCTAGTTCACGAGTAGCGGGACGGAGGCGACACACACACACACACACAGGTGGTTGTCTCCCCATCATGCTGAAGGGGGCGCTCACTAGGGTAGTGTGGGGCCCAGCGTACCCTGGGGGGTGGTGCGTGAGGTGAAGACAGCCAGGGGTGTTCAGTGAGGGGTAACACCACCTCGCTTCCTGAGTAACTGTGGTGAGGTAAATATATCGCTGCCAGCAGGAAGGGCGGAGAGGGCTGCCAACAGTGGCCCCGCACCACCCGAGGAGGGGAGGGACTTTCGGGGGCGGTAGGGGGCTCCCGGCCAACAATTGCACGCGAACAAACGAAAATAACTGACGTGACCACAGTAAGATCTGTTCAATAGGTTGGTTAGACTTATGAGTTACACGTTGTGTTTACGTACCTGTACGTGCAATTAACACAGATTAACCTGTATGTACCATGGCCCTCACCCACCATCTCTCTCCTACGAATATCATCAAGAGTCTTAGCTAAAATTTATGTCAAGACACTGGCACTTATCGTCTCAGGAACTTATAAATCTGTTTAAAGAATGAATTATTGGGATCTAAAAGCTATGTACGACCTTGCCAGGATTCGAACCTGGAATCTTCTGATCCGTAGTCAGACGCGTTATCCGTTGCGCCACAAGGCCGATGAAATCTTAACTTTCTATTTTTAAAAATCCTTCTCTCTCTCTCTCTCAAATATATAACCTCATCTACTATATCAGGGTACATCAATGTCTTCAGTAATCAGGTTCTTCCAAGAATAATGTCTAACGGGAACATCTTGAGAGAGATCATAAAATAATTAGGACACACGCCACACCAGTGACCGGTTGGGAAGTCCACGCACCTGAGGGCCGACTTTCACGCCACGTGTGTGTAGGTGTGTTGATACTGGAGGTGACCACCACACTAACATGCTAACAAAAGGGAATAATTATACTTTGAAACATGATAGGATGAAGTCAAGAGTGTGTGTATGTGTGTGTGCACGCATGCACGCACTTGTTTGCTTGTGCGTGCACGCGTGTGTGAGAGAGAGTTAATTTAAGGATGGAAAGGCTTTTATCACCGGCCTTGTGGCGCAACGGATAACGCGTCTGACTACGGATCAGAAGATTCCAGGTTCGAATCCTGGCAAGGTCGTACATAGTTTTTAGATCCCAATAATTCATTCTTTTAACAGATTTATAAGTTCCTGAGACGATAAGTGCCAGTGTCTTGACATAAATTTTAGGTAAGACTCTTGATGATATTCGTAAGGTGAATTTATCATGCACTCGGGTTTCATCCAGACATCTTTACTACAGCCCCTCGTGTTCATTACAGCACCAGTAGCACACGTCACAAACATGTATATAAAACAAACTACTATAGTAATTTTCCTTATCACAATATGTCTCGTTAAGAGGCTCTCGGCAGAAGTCCAGTTCACCCTCTACTGTTTTCCAATCTCCTCAAACATAAGCACATTTTCCTTAACCCGGTTTGTTTAGACAGTCCCTGACAACTATAGTGTTGGTTGAACCTTATTTAAGCAATAGAGATGACTTTATCTACCATAGCAACAGATTTGTATGTAATTATACTTCTTGATTCCACGAGGGGCGGCCGTGAGCACTGGAAAGGGAGGTAGATGGTATAGTTATGAGGCACAGCGAGGCGGTCACTGCTGAGGTGAGGAAAGGTTGTGTATTACTTAGGTTTTACGTTACTTTATTGGTTAGTTCCCATCTTCTTACTGGTGTTCGTCTTCTGGCGTTGGTTCTTCTACATCATCTTCGTTCATTCTTCCTCTCCTTCCATACTTCCTCTCCTCCCATACTTCCTCTCCTCCCATACTTCCTCTCCTCCCATACTTCCTCTTCCATCATTCTTCCTCTTTTTCCCGTAACTTATCAAACAGACCGACAGCACAAAAGTGTCAGTTTTAGATTGAGATTATCAAGACGGTGTTTTTCTCTCACTTACGGCATCGAAGTTGTTGTCCCGCTAGTGTCGATTGTGGATGCGAACCACCGACCCTTAGTACTGATGGCGAGCGAGGAATCCACTCGGACGCCGCACGAAATTATGTAGTTTGTCTAGTACGCGATGTATTGCTAAAATTAACTTGTACTGAAATAAAAAAATTTTAGGAAGTGATTTAGTTTTATCTGATGTTTTAATATTTGTGTGTATGAGTGTAGTTGTTTGGTGTGAGTGTATAGGGGGTGCTTAGGTGTTTGTTTTTAATTCGTGTTGGAATATTTAAAGTTATACGCACACTAATACACACATTCACAAACCCATATACATACACTCAAACTAGATATAGACACGCTTTCCAAACACATTGACTAAACACACACACACACATACACACACACACACTCACAAACAAGTGCAAAAGACTTCTGATATTGACCACATGTTAGGTACCTGATCGAGCATATGGTGTTGGCAGTCCACACACACACACACTCTTATGGTCCTCCACAAGTGCCAAGAAATACAGAAATACCCATCACTGATTAATGGAATGGTTCGATGATATTTTTTTTTAGTAATAGCTGTAAGTGGCTCCTTGTTTTTAATGTGTCTTTAGAGTTAAAACAACCTCCTCAGAGGGTTAAGCCGCCTTCATCATCATCATCATCATCATCATCATCATCATCATCATCATCATCATCATCAAAAGAGTTGAACCATTATCTTTAAGAGGTTGAACCTGCATACTCAAAGCGCTAAAACACCTTCCTCCATTAGTTAAATCGTCATACTCAAAAGGTTAAACCATCAGACTTAAGGAATTAGCCCGACGTTGACAATATTGCGACCCAAAGAAACCATGGATGTATATAGCAATCAGATTGTTTGTCTGTCTTAATTCACCATTAGTTTATAAAATGACTTATCTGTGACAATTTACATCGGTATTCTCTGCAAGTTGGTACAGTTAGTGTTTGTGGATGGGCCTGTGAATCAAATATTTGGTCACAGCCAGGGTCAGTACTAACGTCTTGGTGATGTATCTAATATTCTTCACTAGGTTACGAGATTTTGGTACAGTAGCTGGCATTGTTTGTAAGTAATTTTTTTCGATATTAGTGCGATTTTAAAAGTTATATACGACCTTGCCAGGATTCGAACCTGGAATCTTCTGATCCGTAGTCAGACGCGTTATCCGTTGCGCCACAAGGCCAGTATTTCTTATTATTCCTTTTCTTTAATTTAATCGTTTTCTCTTTACCTCTCCTCTCTCTCGTGTGGGTGTTACTGGTTGTACAGCAATATAGCGCTCGGGTCGAATTGAAAAAACTGTTGTCCAGTGTGACACAACCAAACTACTGTACATATTTTCTCCCGTACTATCACCAGGAGAATGACTCACTGATCCTCTAGGGGTAGTAGTGTCTTACAGAACTAGCCAGAGTTTATTTATTATATGGGACGGAACTATGTGTGAGAAGCTGGAAGGAAGAGACAAACTGGGACCCAGGAAAAGTAGGACTGCGTCAAGATAATTACACGTAGTTATTCACAGAGACGATGGTTACTCTTTCTCACACACACACACACACACACACAGGGTAATTTACAAACACTTAGTCACATGGTAACTCACCGACACAGTTACTCACATCTGGTAACTCAAGCATATTTGTTACATAGGTAGTAACTCATGTACTCTGTGTGTTGGTATTCTATAAATTAAACTTGTTCTTCTTCCATAGTTGATTGACATACTGTAAGTGTTTAGAGGTTTAACTTTTTATGTTTATGCGTGTAGGAATTTACTTGTTTAAAAGTTTACAAGTTTTGTTGTTTATAAATTTTGAAGTTTACTTCTTAAAGTGCTTGAATGTGTTACGACCCTCCTTTCACTGCCCACCCAGCTTCCACCACTGGTTACCAGCGGTCAGGGTCGTATGTACAGAAGCAGTAGATATCTCACAAGAGTCGTCGAATTACCACTGGCTGTCCCGCCAGTCTCCGGTAATTTTCCGACGATCAGTATCAGTGTACTTTTACTTTTATCCTCTTCACCACTGATCGGCGGCTCGTTAGCCGCTTGGGCGATCGGTCACGTCTCTGTTACGCACTGTTGGCAAGTACTGGGCATGCACTGGCTCCTGGATGTACCTAAACCTGCTCCAGTGTTGGTCAAGTCTGGTTTTGAAAGAGCTCACACTCGGTGCCGTCACAACACTCTCTGGTAGATTGTTCCAAGAGTTCACAATTCTCACTCCGAAAAAGTTTGCCCTCACAGTTTTCTGGACTTGCGGCTTCTTCAATCTTGAGCTGTGACCCCTTGTTGGGCGAGCGTCCGCCAGCTCCAAGTCAGGACACTCGACTGAGTAGTGCCCCTTGAGATGCTTATACACCTCAATTAGGTCACCCCTTACCCGTCTATAGTATAAGCTAGTCAAGTTCAAGCGCTCCAATCTCTCAGGGTAGCTGAGGTGCCGAAGTGCAGGCACCAGTTTGGTGGCCCTCCTTTGAACATTTTCAACCAACTGACAGTCCCTAGCATATCTCGGGGACCAGACGGGGTGATAGTACTCCAGATGGGGAAACACTTCACTCTTGAAGATCGATACAAGGGACCCGTCTAGATATCTAAACGACCTTCTTATAAGACCTGATAATTTATTTGCCTGATTTACCTTCTTCTCGCAATGGCCCGAGAACTTCAGCTTTGTCAACATACACACCTAGGTCCTTCTCACATTCAGTGTCAAATAGTGCAGTTTCTTCAGACAAACAACGGGCAGACAGATTTCCACCTGGTCACAGAAACACACTTGTGCACTGTAGTCGCCTTTAATAGTCACTATTCACAGGGTAATGGCTTCACAGCTGGACTTTTCACTTCGAATATATAGTCAGCACACTACCAGTGTACAATTCCTAAGACTTTTTGCTTTATATTTTCCCAGACATTCACCTTGCCATGTCTGGCAAAATGAAAGTCTTTGCATTGCTGATAAGCTCAAAAATTGAGTTGCCCGGCACCCCCTGGGTGTTTCCTTGTAACATTTTGCCTCTTTTTTTTCTTTTTTTTTTTGCTATATCACATTTTTTTTGGAGTATGAGAACATAAAGCATTAATTTTTGTATTATTGCGTTTACACACCGTTCATTCCTACCACTAATCTATTATCATATTCGAATAAGACGTCTAATTATAAGATAATTTTCATCTATTACATTACCGGCGGAAATGTATAATAACAGAGATAGCTTATCCAAAATTTTCTCTATTTTCTTCCATTAATCTTCCTCCATTATCGCCTGCCTCTCCTCCAACACTGCGTGTCTCCTGCATCTCCTTCATAAATCATCACGCGCATGCGTTCCCATACACGTCACGCGGCCAATAAAAAGCATTTTTGTTTTTGCAACCAATTAAAATGATTTTGGGTTTCATTCACGGTATATTTGGTCCAATCAAATTAGTTTTATTTTGGGTCTCATATTTCGAAATTCAAGTTCAGTTCCGACCATGGAAGTCTGTGGTGGGTGTCACTTAAATTATATGGAGCTGATTGCGAGTTTTTTTGGAAAAAAACGAAGAAACTAGAGCATTTTTTCGATCGCATGGTGTTCTTCCAACCTCAGTAAAGTGTACTAAGAGCAAGACTGATTGTAAATATCGCAAAGACCAACATACAGATGTGGCGTTGTGTAAGAATTTCAGAATCCAACGACGAACAAGAACCAGCCCAATAAGGTAAGAAATAGGTGATTCCATCATATGGTGAGAGTCAGTTAGGTTAGGTTAGGTTTGTTTTTTGTATTTCTTGTGTTTATTGGTGTATTTTGCCATGATTTTTTTTTTCGGAAAACGTCCAACGAAGAAAAATCGCAAAAAAAAACAGCTAATTTCCGCCAAAAATGAAGGTCATATTCGGTCTAAACACACATAAATACACTAGAAAAATATATTTTTGACTTTCTAACAGAGAACGTTACAGCGGTGTGTCCTGTAATATATTCCTTGTTTGCCACGACCCAGCCGGCGCCTAACCCCACAGCTGGGTGGGCTCGTTGCGCTCGCTATGGTCCCCACCCACAACTTCTTTGACTCCCTTTTGATATTCCTGGATCCGCCCCTGGTACTAAAAAATTAATGCTATTTTCCGAGTACGTGTGGTGTATCCCTATTTTTTTTTCATAGTACGAGTACAATTAGTGCATGAGCTTTCACAATACCATTTTCAAGCGGTCACAAATAATCTTAACTTGTATATGACATTATTTTGAGAAAACCAATATATCATTATATTCTTCTAAATATATTATTGATAATGATATTGAAACTATTTAGCCAGAAAAACACAGATACAGACCCGATAATAACTTTTAACATGGCTAAGCCAGTTGAAAGCCTAAGCTCTCTTGAAGGCACCTGACATATATACTGTACTTTTATCTCAAGGAAGTATTATGTAACATTTAGTATCATCTGGAATAGTACACATAACATGGTGGTAGTAAGAACATGTCAGGATGTAAGCGCATTGTTTGATTGTCTCTTTGTGCTGGAGAACTTTCGACACTTCGAGGACTCACGAACCATGAATTTGGATTTTGGTACTACGGAAAAATAATGTTACATAAATTAAACTTTGTCCGACTAAGTTTTGAAGTGTTGAGGGTTAATCATAGTTCTCAGTTTTCACTACTGTATTTTAACGCAACGGGGAAGAAAATAAATCCGGAAATATTAAGTTTTCATTTGAACGGATTCACTCATCAGAAAGCGAAGCAGTTGAACAAGTCGATGACTAATATGCCAGTGACCTGATCTGTGGCAATCGGACCATCGTCAGGTTAACTCTGCGATTCTTGTGAATTCTGAAGTTAAGTCGGTCGTTACTTTCCTGGTCAACCATGGAGCTTTATTGAGGTAAGCCAATTCTTGCCCGTTGCGTCAGAAGGCAATGTTTACAGTTCGATAATTTGGTAATTTCTGAGAACAGTACTACCACCAGTTGTTCGATTTCATTAATTTCTTCCACGTGTTCTTATCATTATAGTAATTACACATATTAAAGGAAGCAACAAATTTTGGTCAATTGATAGTATCACACCGGTCTTTATTTCGATATTAAAAATAGGTTTTTCCTATGTATTTGATGAGTTTCGAACGAATTTGATATTCATTTCCACTGGAAATCACGTTTGTTTTTTTATATATAGTATAACCCCCCTCCCCGAACAATCGTAACGGAAGAAGTTGGATTTGTTTTTTAGAATAAATAAATTATATTATCAACCAACGAAGATAGCCAAACCTAACCCGTTGTTCATGCTCCAGCCGCTTAAAGAGCGACACTTGTGACTGATCGAAAGTAATAATCTTGAAAAATTAATATCACGGTTATCCTTAATTTCCGGTGGAAATATCATAAAGAAAAATGTCTTAGAATTATATAAACATTATTAGATACATATTTTTAATACGGAAATAAATACTAGTGTGATACTATAAATTCACCCAAATATATTTTTTAGTTAAGTATTTTTTATTTATTTTTTTGTCTATGTGATCATATAGCTGTAGTGGGTAGGGTGGTAATTTTATCGTTTTGGTCATCGACTTATTTGGAAGTTGAAATTAATGTTTTTTTATTTTGTTTGGTGTGTGTTTTGAACGATTTCTGATCTTCATTTGTATCGCAAATCACTACTTTTGAACACCGAAAACTACACCAACTCATTAAACACTGAAAACAGAAATAAGGTTATTTCTTTTTAGTTTTAGGATTTTTATGGGTCAGGTAAGGTTTTTAAAGGTTTGTTTGGGTAAACGTTTACTTAAGTGTTGCAAGCAATTTTACGAGAAAAAAAATCCTCCATGAATTTTAGTTTTTTTTTTCAACGGAGATACTTTTCTCTGGGAAAAAAAGTAATGGTTTTTAATCATGGTCAAACATTAGCCTGACCTAACCCTCTAGCGGGGGGGACTGTGCCATTCCTCTACCCCCTTGAGTGGTTATATAATGTCAGTGTTTAACTTATCCCTATTTAACCTAACATAACGTATTCCCCTATTGCGAAACACTATTTTTTTAGAGTTGGGTCATGTATTATATAGCATGGTAATGCGATTCAGACGACCTGCGCACTACCCCTCCCATGGCTTATTATAGTATAAATTATAAAAAAGAAACACTTCCCCAAAAGAGAACAAAAATTATGGTGGAAAAGCAGTGTGTGTTCTTGCTAGAATCGTTGGCAGCAATAATCTACACGTTAACCTTTGTTTGGTGTTCTTAACATGAAAACCTATTTTTCTGGTGTATTTTGTTGTGTTTCTGGCAAATTTGACTTTCATTTCCATAAGAGTTCACAACTCTCACTCCGAAAAAGTTTGCCCTCACACTTTTCTGGACTTGCGGCTTCTTCAATCTTGAGCTGTGACCCTTTGTGGGGCGAGCGTCCGCCAGCTCCAAGCAAGGACACTCGACTGAGTAGTGCCCCTTGAGATGCTTATATACCTCAATTAGGTCACCCCTTGCCCGTCTGTAGTATAAGCTAGGCAAGTTCAGGCGCTCCAATCTCTCAGGGTAGTTGAAGTGCTGAAGTGCAGACACCAGTCTGGTGGAATGAAGATCATATTTGAAGAAAACACACCAAAATACACCAGAAAAATTGGTTTTCATGTAAAAAACATGAACCAATAATTACCCATTTTTTCCACAGATGAAACTTCCAGTGTGCCCAGCTGGAAATTCGTATCCACATCCTACAATATAGCCGTGACTTTGAAGTAAGCTAACCTAACCTAACCTTCACCTCTCTGCAGTATTTTACTTCATGATGTAAATTGAATGATCATACATTGCCCTCTGTTGGCTCTGTTTATGTCACTAGGCTAAATTGCTCAACTTAGAGGTTTGTTACCATGTCATTGACTTTCATTACTGGCCATAGGTAGTAGACCCTCGGGTGAAAAAATGGATAACATGAAGGTTAGGGACTCCAGCTTATTTCACCTGGTGATTAAACACCCTCGTACTAATCTAACCTAACGTAACCTAACCTAATTTGTATAGGGGGAAAGAATGATGGGTTTTATATACTGTATTCCCACTGCTGTTACCCATTTGTATAGAAGGAATTTACTTCTTTTCCTCTTTAATTCTTTCTTTATCTTCTCAAGGTATTTTTTCTCTTTTTTTAGATATTATTTATTTATTCTTTCTCTCTTTTCTGTTCTCTGTTACTTTCCTCTGTTCTAGTTATATTCTGACCTAGGGCTTACTCACGGTAGCTGCCACCATCCAGGTTTTTCTCTCAGAACATACTGTATAATATAACATTAATTTAACCTTATCCAACCTATTCTAACCTTTCCTAATCTAACCTCCCGAAGTTCTTTATAGTAAATATATTTTGTTTTTTACAGGAGATATTACAACAGAACTTTGGGAAATTGAACTGCACCATCACATCTGTAAATGATCACCTGGAGCATGGAACAAAAGCTACCACCAACACCGCACCACCACCATGGCACTATCACCACCATGGAACTATCACCACCATGGAACTATCACCACCATGGAACTATCACCACTGGCACCACTGTTTTATTAACCCGGGACTAAATGAACAAAAATATGGGAATTATTGTGAAATTGTATACAGTACAATACTGCCATAAAGGGATCGTGGGCTGATGAGAACGGGAGGTGGTGAGTTGTCCGTTCCTCCTCTCCCCGGCTACACACCCAAACATAGTCTTATACAGTATCATAATATAATTCATATTATATTCCTATAATTAATTCATCTTAATCTATTTCATAATATATTCATATACCCGTAATAATAATAATCAACTTTTCAGAACTGCACCGTTATTTCAGATTCTTTCCGAATTCAAATTGTTTAATTCGTTTAAAAAACTTCCAATTACAATAATCTGAAATCCGAATTATGAAGATTCAAATTAACGAGGGTACAATGTAAAGTGGAATAATTGTTTGAGATTCTGTTGTTCTGAAACACGTGCCAAGAGTAAGCTGTGTGGCCATTTTGGGGGAGGAGACTGCCCTTCCATAAGACAATGTACCAAAGTTAATCAGTATTTATTTTTTTCTAGTGTTGGGTAGTAATTTCATGTAAGTTGTGTACTATTTATCATTTGTTAGTTAGGTTTTGTTCTTGTTTGTGAACTCATTTAGTGTTTTTTGGGGGTATTTTTGTTATTGGGAGCCTGGTGGACGTCTCCCCTACAACTGCTTACAACTGCGTAGCCACAGCCACCACCTGCCACCACATTCCAACGTGCCGTTGCCTAGCAACCAAGCGAGAGCTGTCCCCAGATGTTACCGTTGCTTAGCAACGAAACTAGTCACCGGCAACTTTCTGGGTTTTCCCAACATGATTCATAGAGGACTGGCGGCTGCTGCTGGGTATATAAGCTCTGTCTCTCCATTGAGATTCATTCTGACCATTCTTCTTGAACAAGCAACACCTCCTCCTCCGCCGCTGCCTGGCTGCCTTCGCTTCTCCTCGCCTGCCTGGCGGTCCTCGCTCCCGCCAGCGAGCATGGCGACCCACCAGCTGTCCTTCTCTGAGCTTCCTCACCAACCAACTCTCATTCTGCCCATCTTCCTGAACAAGCAACACCTCCTCCAGCAAGCTCCACGCTGTCAACATTTATTCAACCAGGAGGCCAGCAACAGGCAACATCTTCTCTAACGAAGCTCCTGCACATCTACCTCCTACAACACGCTACTCACCGAACGCTTCTACTGAGCAGCCCCTCACCACACGGCACCTCCAGCACCAGACTGTCTATCATATAACTTATATATTATACAAGAAAACCACATTAGAGTTTCCTTCCATCCTGAGTGCTAGACAACATTAATATCTCGATACCCCTAAGCCAAACCCTATTTTTCCCATATGTTCTTTTGTTCTTGATACTTAAATTCACTTGTATAAGATGTGCATCATGGCTCACTAGCAGTTGTCCAATGCCATTATGTACTTGCCAGTTTCTTATACACTCATGTTTATTATGTAATTTGGTGTATTCCATCTCATTTGTAAGACATACTGTGGTGTGTTTTGGGTAACAGCTGTACATCTTTGAAAAATGTTGCCCGTAATTGTTTTTGAAATGTGTGGGATATCTTATAAACCTCTTAATGGCAGAAACAGTGGCCAAAGCATCAGCCATCCCTTCAACCAGAGAGGCTGGCTGTGAGGAGGAATGATGACTCAACATGGACTCAATGCTCCAACACTGGTGAATAACTTTCAATTTATGCTTACATTCCTAAATTAATGCTTATTATGCTTGCTTTATATGTTTGTTTTTTTTCTTGCTTGACAGTCTGAACGACAGATATGTATTAAGGTTATCTGAGTTTTTTGAGGGTGGAAATCTACCGTCTTTTGGGACGAAATCCTACCTTCTACTGGGGCGGAATCATACCGTCTTCTGGGGCGGAATCATACCGTCTTCACCCTAATATCCCACCGTCTTCTTGCGCAGAATCCTACCTTATTCCGAGGCGGAATCCTACCGTCTCCTGGGGCAGAAACCTACCGTATTTTGGGCGGAATCTTATCCTATTCTGGGGCGGAATCCTACCCTATTCTGATGCGGAATGCTACCCTATTCTGGGGCGGAATCCTACCCTATTCTGAGGCAGAACCCTACCATCTTCTGGGGCGGGATCCTACCGTATTCTGGGACAGAATCTTACCGTCTTCTGAGGCGGATTCCTTCCATGTTCGAGGTGGGAATCCTACTGAATTCTGGCGCAGAATCCTACCGTATTCTGGGGCAGAATTCGTTCGTATTCTGGAGTGGATTCCTACCGTTTTGTGGGCGGAATCCGACAGTTTTCTGGGGCACAATCTTACCGTCTTTGGGGACAGAATCCTACCGTCTGCGAGAGCTGAATCCTACCGTTATCTGGGGCAGAATCCTACCGTCTTCTGGGGCGGATTCCTACCGTATTCTGGAGCACTGTCCTGCCATCTTCTATGGCATAATCCTACTGTCTTCTGGAGGGAACTACTACCGTTTTCTGGGGCGATATCCTACTGTCTTTTTGGGCGGAATCTTACCGTTTTCTCTGGCGAAATTCCCCCATCTTTAGGGACGACATCCTACCGTCTTCTGGGCGGAATCCTACTGTCTTCTGGGGTGAAATCCTACCGTTTTAGGGCGCAGAATCCTGCCGTTTTCTGGCGCAGAATCCTGCCATATTCTGGGCCACAATCCTACCGTCTTCTGGGGTGGGATCATACCGTATTCTGAGGCGGAATCCTACCGTCTCCTGGGACAGAATCCTACCGTATTTTGGGCGGAATCCTACCCTATTCTGGGGTGGAATCCTACGCTACTCTTAGATGGAATCCTACCCTATTCTGGGGCAGAACCCTACCGTCTTCTGGGGCGGGTTCCTTCCATCTACTTGGGCGGAATCTTACCATATTCTGGCGCTGAATCCTACCGTATTCTGGGGCAGAACCCTTCCATCGTCTGGGGCGGGATCCTACCGTATTCTGGGGTAAAATCCTACCATCTTCTGGGGCGGATTCCTTCCATCTACTAGGGCGGAATCCTACCGTATTCTGGGGCGGAATCCTACCGTATTCTGGGGCAGAATCCTACCGTTTTAGGGGCAGAATCTTACCGTCTTTGGGGACAGAATCCTACCGTCTGCTGGCGCAGAATCCTACAGTTTTCTGGGGCGGATTCCTACCATCTTTGAGGGCGGAATCCTACCGTATTCTGGTGCAGAATCCTACCGTATTCTGGGGCAGAATTCTACCGTATTCTGGAGCGGAATCCTACCGTATTGTGGGCGGAATCCGTCCGTTTTCTGGGGCACATTCTTACCGTCTTTGGGGACGAAATCCTACCGTCTTCTGGGGCGGAATCCTACTGTCTTCTGAGGCGAAATCCAACCGTTTTAGAGCGCAGAATCCTGCCGTTGTTTATGGCAAAATCATAACTTCTTCTAGGGCGAAATCCTACCGAATTCTGGCGCAGAATCCTACCGTTTTCTGGCGCAGAATCCAACCATATTCTGGGGCAGAATCCTACCGTCTTCTGGGGTGAAATCATACCGTATTCTGAGGCAGAATCCTACCGTCCCCTGGGACAGAATCCTACCGTATTTTGGGCGGAATTTTACCCTATTCTGCCGCGGAATCCTACCCTCTTCTGGGGCAGAACCCTACCATCTTCTGGGGCTGGATCCTACCGTATTCTTGGGAAGAATCCTACCGTCTTCTGGGGCGGATTCTTACCACCTTCGAGGGCAGAATCCTACCGTATTCTGGAGCGGAATCGTACCGTATTATGGGCGGAATCCGACCGTTTTCTAGGACACAGTCTTAATGTCTTTGGGGACAGAATCCTACAGTTTCATTACGCAGAAACCTACCGTTTTCTGGAGCGATATCTTAACGTATTCTGTGTCGGAATCCTATCGTTTCCTGGGGCAAATTCCTCCTGTATTTCGGGCGGAACCCTATCCTATTCTGGGGCGGAATCCTACCCTATTTTGGGGCGGAATCCTACCCTATTCTGGGGCGGAATCCTACCCTATTCTGGGGCAGAATCCTACCGCCTTCTGGGGCGGATTCCTACTGTTAGGTGTTCTGGGTAATAAGTTCTATATACAGGAGAGAACACAAACACCTGTATAGTTTTGTAGGTTCGGTTTACTGGATAAGAGTATGTACACAGAGGGGGGGGGTAGCACTCCTCAGCTAGGCTCCTTGTCAACTGCTATAGACGACGTATGGCAAGTGATACATTAGCAGCTTCCATACGTCGCCATGCACATTAATTAAGCATGTGGGATATCTTAAATACATTGCCACACACTGCTAGCTAGGCTGAACAAATAATACACAAATGGAGCACATACATAATATACATACATAATATATAATCCAGCATACATAATATACATACACCTCCCTCCCCCCTATACGCTCATAGCAAAGTCTTGAGCGGACCTCTTCTTCTGGATCCGTTCTGAGCGTCGAGGGACTTCATCACTGGGAAGGGTGTGGGACTCAACACTGGTGGCGGGGCCAGCAGAAGGCATTGTTACGGGGCGGAGAAAACGGCGGTTCCTCCACCACACACGACCACTGGGTAACCGCACCTGGTAGTCCCGTGACCTGCCGAGACCCATGACTACGCCTACTTTGTCCCAACGTAGGGAGGTCGGGTCCTGAACACGGACTTGGGTGCCGACACTCAACCTGGGGAGAGAACGGGCGTGGTCGTTGTAGCGGGCGACGACGTCCTGAACACGTTCGGCGGCTCGGCGATCACAATCCTCTGTCTTGGCCTGCCACTCCTTGGAGAAGGATTGAGGGTGAGCAGGGACACAAGAACGAAGGGGGCGTCCATACAAAACCTGGGCAGGGGAGCGTCCGGTGTAGTTAGGTGTGTTGCGGAGTTCAAGAAGACCCCGGTCGAAGGCCTCGCAGTCAATGTTCCCAGAAGGGGCCACCTTAAGGATGAGGTGCTTCAAGGATTTGACAGCAGCCTCAGCGTGGCCGTTGGACTGCGGGTAATGGGGCGATGACAACACATGCCGGACTCCCCATCGGTCAAGGAATACAGCAAAGTCCCGGCTTGTAAACTGAGGCCCTCCGTCGGTTCGCAGGCGTACAGGAACGCCCACGTCACGGAAGTAGTGGCGGAACTTGCTGATGGTGGCGGCAGACGTCGTGTCATTACCGCACTTGATGACAACCGGCCAACCAGAGAGACGGTCGACGATAACGAGGAAGGACTTTCCTGACACACAGAAAAAGTCGGCCGACACAGACTCAAAGGGGCGGGTGGGGTTGTCGTCACTCATGAAGGGTTCCTGCTGCTGGCTGGGTTGTAATACTTGGCGGGGCTTACACACCTGGACAGCATTGGAGATGTCGGGGTCGATGCCAGGCCGGAACACAGTCTGTCTTGCACGCCGTTTGGTGGCCTCGGCTCCACAGTGACTGTCGTGGAGGCGAGCCAAGGCGTGGGGACGTGAAGCAGCAGGGACAACTACCGAAGGAGAGGTGTCACTGGCCAGAGGTAGGGGTAGGGTGGCAGCAGGGTAGTTGCTGCTCCCTTCGTGCACCCTGTTGGCGTATTTTACCTCGAGAATCGGTGTTGGGAAGTCCTGGGAGATGATGGCCAACTCTTGACAATGTCTGTAGGACAGCAAAGGAGTCGGGACACCATTATGCACGTCAATCCAGGCCTGACACGACCTGTTGCCAAAGGTGACATGTGCATAGAGTGAACCCAGGGCTGGGGCCATCTGTGAACCATCTGCCGTGACGCAGAGGTCCTCGGGAGGCGGTCCTAGATCGCTTGGAGAGAGCCCCAAGCATCGCAAATGCTGGGGACCGATGACTGTAGCATCAGCGCCGGTGTCGGGCAACATCTGAAGACGGGATGACACACCGCCGTAGGTCACGATGACACTGATGTACTGGGGAACTTTGGTCCTGGGATGCGAGGAGTACACCCTCCTAAAATGGGTCGGGCGTTGTCCAGGGTCGTCGTGCCTCTGATTGGAAGACTGTGGGCGGCCCTCTCTGGTGGAAGGGCGCTGAAGCTTCCGCCGACGCTGTCCCTTGGGTTTGTTGGAAGGGCAACACTTGTCATAGTGGCCCAGGCGACCGCACACATTGCACTGGACGTACTTAGCTGGGCACCGCACTGTGAGTGACCAGTGGCCCTTACGGTCACAACTGTTGCAGGTAGACTCAGCAGCTGGACACACCTGTGTTCCGTGCTGCTTACCACAGTTGTTGCAAAATGAACCGGGCGTGGACGTGGTGGGCGAAGGCGTAGGAGCAGACTTCTTGTCCTTCTTGTACCGGGACACAGCGCGTACAGCTGTAGGGGGAGCTCGGATGGCAGAGGTGGCACACCTGGCAGCCTCATAGGAGCGACATATCGTCAACACATCCTGAAGAGAAGAGGAAGAGTCGAGGGAGGTGAGGCGTTGGACAAGTTCCTCGTCCTTAACACCCATCAAGATCACCTGCTTCAACTGGGTCTCCTCGCACTGCTGGTGGTGGCCTAAACATATATCTACCTCTTCCGAGGCTCTCTTAAGACGTACATAAAAGGCGTCAAAAGTCTCACCTTCCATCTGTCTGCAGCTAAACAGTTCCCTCCTGCGCAGAGCTTCATTCTGCTGTCCTTTGATGTGCCGTTGTAGAATGTCCAGTACCTCCTCTACAGACAGCAAAGAGGTTGGGGGTACCTGCAACGTATGTTCTAAGACACGCTGAACTTCCAAGGACAGGCACATACGCAGCTGGATGAGTTGTTTAGGCTGTGACAAACTCTGGAGATCCACCATTGTAGAATAATCAGCCCACCGCCGCCGCCATTCACGAAAAGTCTGGAAATTCACATCAGGCTTCAAGATGGGCGGTGTTTGAGCTGCTGCTTTAGGTGGGGCTGGGGGGCGTGAAGGAAGCATGGATGAGGTATCTGAACCAGTCAGTACCGAGGCAGTGTTAGAGCCAGGGGCTTGGTTAACAGTGAGGCGAGATATCAAGGCTTCAAACCGTGCACTGTCTTCCACTCTCCGTTGGTGGTCTCGTTCTGCCTCTGCTTGCCTTCTGTGCTCATCCGCCAAACGCTGAATGTTGAGGTGAAGGGCTGCGCGATGTTGTGGGAGCTGGAGCGTCGTGGCCGGCCTGGTCATCCATCTCTGTGGGACTATCATCCGCTTGACTCATCCAGGCGCTGGGTCCACGGCTACGTAAGGCATGAGACATAACTACTTCCTCTGTGTACTGTGTCTTAAATCAGTGTTGACCGGTCAGCCCGTCGTATCAACAAGATTTCAGACAAAAAAATTTAATTAAATACACAGATAAGTAGGTTATATATATAAAATATATATAATGAAGCCGCGCGGTCAGCAAGTGTTAGTGCATGTATGTGTGTGTGTGTGTCGGGCGGGCAAAGCGTCTCGCCCCAGCTGTGAGGGGGGGTGGAGGCGGCGCTGTGAGGGGGGGTTGGGGAGTGCGGCGACTCTCAGTCCGTCCAGTTACCCTCAGGACGCGGTTAGAGAAGGGTGCACTGAACTCTACTCCCAACAAATGCCCAGAACATGCCGTATACCTTGGGAATCCGTTCGAACAAGGTCACACATGAATGGCACGAAACACACAATGCACTAAACACTTCACAGAAAATCACTGTCACTGACACTGCTCAAAGTTGCTAAATTCTTCGAGGAGGGATGACGGGCGGCGGTTGGTAGACACAGGGAAGGAGTCCATAAGCCGGCTTTCACAAACTTGCACTAATCACTCGTAATTATCCAGTAAGATTACGCACTGCGCCATGTTAGGTGTTCTGGGTAATAAGTTCTATATACAGGAGAGAACACAAACACCTGTATAGTTTTGTAGGTTCGGTTTACTGGATAAGAGTATGTACACAGAGGGGGGGTAGCACTCCTCCCTAGCTAGGCTCCTGGTCAACTGCTATAGACGACGTATGGCAAGTGATACATTAGCAGCTTCCATACGTCGCCAAGCACATTAATTAAGCATGTGGGATATGGTAATAACATTGCCACACACTGCTAGCTAGGCTGAACAAATAATACACAAATGGAGCACATACATAATATACATACACCTACCATCTTCGAGGTCGGACTCCTACCCTATTCTCCCACAGACGGCGGCGCTCCCCGGGGCTCTCACAGGAACGGTGACATCCACTGGGGCCATGATATGGACGGCGGCGCTCTCTGGGGCCCTTGAAGGGTCGGTGGCGCCGCCAGAGGAGCTCCCAGAGACGGCGGAGTCGCCAGGGGCGCTCCTAGGGACGGTAGCGCTCCCAGGGACCCTGCCAAGGGCGCTGGCGCTTTCAAGGGCTATCCTAGGGACAGTAGTCCTCCTAAGAGCCCTCCCAGGGATAGAAGCGCCCCCCAGGGCCCCTCCAAGGGACGGGGTCTCTTCCAGGAGCTCTTCCAAGTACGCTGACTCCGGCAGGGGATCTCCTAGGGACACCGGTGCTCCCAGAGACCCTCCCGGGGACGGCAGCGCCCAAGTGGTCTCTCAGGGTCAGATGTGCTCTCAGGGCCAGCAGCTCCCCAGGTACTCTCCTAGGGACAGATGTGCCGTCCCAGGGATAAAAAGCGCCCCAGGAGCCCTCCGAGGGACGCCGGAGTCCTCAAGGGCGCTGCCACGGGCGCTGGCGCATCTACGGGACCTCCTAGGGACGGCGGCGTCTCTGGTGCCTACAGGGGCCCTCCCAAGGACAGCGGCGCTCCTAAGGGCCCTCCCAGAGTCCCTTCCAGCGGCGCTGGCGACCCCAGAGGCCCTGCCATGGGCATTGGCGCCCCCAGGGGCACTTCCAGAGGCAGTGAAAGGGCGGTGGCACCCCCAGGGTCGCACCCAGGGTCTTTCCCAGCGAAACGAGGCGCCCCCGGGTACCCTGCCAGGGGAAGTGTCACCCGCAGGGGTCAGTCGAAGGCGCTGGCGACCCCAGGAACTCTCTTAGGGACATCGGTGCTCCCATGGACGGTGGCGCCCTCAGTGTCCCTCCCATGGATGGCAGCGACCCATGGACTCTGCCAGGGGCGGTGCCGCCCCCAGAGACCGTCACAGTTACGGATCTCGCCTCTATGGGCCCTGCCAGGGGCGGTGGCGGTTATAGGGGCGCTGCCAGAGGTGGTGGCGCTCCCAGGGGCCCTGCCAGAGGCTCTGGCGCCCCCATAGTCCCTCCCAGGGACGGCTGCACCTCCAGGGGCTCTCCCAGGGACAGCAGCGCTCTCAGGATCACTTTTAGTAGTGTTGGAGCCCCCAGGGGCCATGCCAGGGACAGCCGCGCTACTAGGTGCCCTCCGAGGGACAGGGGTGCTCCCAGGGGCCCTCTCAGGGGCGGTGGCACCCCCAAGGTCCATGCCAAGGAAAGAGGCACTCCCACGGGCCCTCCCATGGACGGCGACGCTCCCAACTGCCCTGACAGGGGCGATGGCGCCCCCAGAGACCCTGCCCTCTTAGGGATGGGACGCCCCCACGTGCCCTGACAGAGGCGCTGGCGCCTCCAGGGGCTCTTCCAGGGACACCGGGGCTCCCAGTGGCCCTCCCACGTACGGAAGTAACCCCAGGGGCCCTCCCAGGGACGGCAGCGCTCCCAGGAGCCCTGCCTGGCACGCTGGCGCCCCCAAGGCTCTCTCAAGGATAGCAGTGCTCCCAGGGGCCCTCCCAGAGACTGCCCTGCTAGGGGACTTACCAGCTGCGCTGCCGACCCCAGGATCCCTGCCAGGGGCACTGGCGCTCCCAATGCATCTCCCAGGGGTACCCTGACAAGAGCGGAGACGCCCCCAGGGTCCCTCCCAGGGGCGGTAGGGATCCCAGGGTCCCTCCCAGGGTCCATGGGGCCCCCAGGTGCCGTGCCAGGACCCCTGACACCCAAGGTGTCGTACCACGGGCGATGGCGAACCCATGTTCTCTCCCAGGGACAGCGGTGCTCCCAGGGACGGTAGCGCCCCCAAGGGCCCTCCCAGGGACAGCGGTGGCTCCCTCCCCCCCCAGGGGCCCTCGCAGGAACAGCAGCACTCCCAGGAGCCCTGCAAGGAACAGTGGTGCTCCAGGAGCCCTCCCAGTGACAGCGGCGCCCCCAAGGGCTCTCCCAGGGCCCTCCCAAGGAAGGCGGCGTCCCCAGAGGCCATGCCAGGAACAGTGGCGCTCCAGGAGCCTTCCCAGGGGCCGTCCCAGGGGCGGTGGCACCCCCAGGGGCCCTCCAAGGGACGGCAGTGCCCCCACGGGACCTCCCAGGAACAGCGGTGCTGCCAGGGGCCCACCCACGGGCGGAAGCGCCCCCAGGGGACATCCCAGGAACTTCGACGCCCCCAGGGGCCCTCACAGAGACGGCGGTGCTCCCAGGGGCCCTGTTAGGGGCATTGGCGTCCCCAGGGGCTCTCGTAGGGACGGCGGGTCTCCCAGGAGCCGTTCCAGGAGCGCTGGTGCCCCTAGAGTCCTTCTCAGGGGTTATTCTAGGGACAGCGGCGATGCCAGTGGCCCTCCCAGGGGCCCTCCGAGGGACGGCGGCGCCCCCAAAGGCCCTGCTGGGGACAGCGGCGATGCCAGTGGCCCTCCCAGGGGCCCTCCGAGGGACGGCGGCGCCCCCAAAGGCCCTGCTAGGGACAGCGTCCCCAGGAGCTTTACCAGGGCGCTGGCTTCCAACGCACTTTTTTTTTTTTTTTTTTTAGGTTAAGGTGGGGAAAGAATGGAAGGCATGCTGGGGCTCAAGGCACAGCCAGACATGAGGGACGGAGAAGTCACAACATATAGTCGTGGGGGGAAAGGTTGGAAAAGAAGTTTAATGAGTTAAACAGCGGGAGGACGACACCCCTTGATTTACATATTACAGAGTTTGTTGGCTAACTAAGCTAACCTAGGATTTAGAATGAGGTTGCAAAATGGTTATTTTAGTAGACAATGACTAGATTGATTTTACAATTACAAGTTTATTAACATCTTATGCTGTATTACGTTATGGACTCACTTGATTGTGACTTGTTAAATGTGAATTTATATCATCTAAGTTTTAATCTAAGGTGGATCACTGTGGCGGACATAGATGGGTCGCGGGTTGGGTTGTTGTAGTGCGGGCAAGCGGCACTTCCAGGGATAACCACTTTACCAGGGGCCCTCCGAGGGTCGGTGGCGCCCACAGAGGCCATCCAGGGGCTCTCCCAAGGACACTCGCGCTCCCAATGGCCATCCCACGGTCGGCGGTGCCCCCAGGGACTCATCCAACGGCGCTTACGCCCCCAAGTGCCCTGTCAGATGACCTGCTAGCGGCGCTGGCGACCCCAGTGGCTCTCTCAGGGACAGTGGTGATCCTAAGAGCCCTCTTAGGAATCGAAGCATCCCCAGAGGCCCTCCGAAGGACGGCGGCGCCCACAAGGTTCATGCCAGGGACAGCGGCACCCCCTGGGGCCGTGACAGGGGCATTGGTGCCCCCAGGGGCCCTGCAAGGGGCAGTGGCACCTCAGGTGCACTACCTTGAGCGCTGGCTCCCCCAGGGTCTCTCGCGGTTACAACAGCGCCCCCAAGGGCCAGACAAGTTCGCTTGCGCCTCCAGGAGCCAGCCAAGGGCGTTTGCTTCCAGGTGCCCTCCCGGGGACGGTGGCGCCCCCAGGAATTTTCTGAGGCATGGCAGCGCTCCCAGAGGCCGTGCCACGGCCGGCGGTGCCCTCAGGGGCCCATACAGCAACGGTGGCCCTTCAGGGGCTCTCCCAGGGACGCCGGCAACCCCAGGGGTTTTGCCAGGAGCGATGGCGCCCCAAGGGGCCTGCCAGAGGTGGTGGTGACCCCAAGGGCCCTGCTAGAGGCTCTAGAGCCCCAAGGTCCCTCCCAGGGACAGCCGCGCCCCCAGGGGATCTCGCAGGGACAGCGGCGATTTCAGGAGCTATGCCAGGGACAGCGGCACTCCCAGGGGTCCCCAGGGATGACGACGCGCCCAGGGACCCTGGCATGGGCGGTGCCGCCCCTAGGGGCTCTTCCGGGGACAGCGGTGCTCCTAGGAGCCCTCTTAGGGTTGGCGGCGACCCCAGGGCCCCTCCCAGGGTCTGGGCCCCTCCCAGGAGCCCTTCCAGGAACGCTGACTCCCCCGGGGGCTCTCCCAGGGACAGTGGAGCTCCCAGAGTCCTTTTCAGGGATGGCTGCGCCCCCAGGGGCCCAGTCAGGGCCGCTGTTACCTCCAGCGGTTCCTCTCAGGGACGGCGACTACCACAGGGACGGTGACGCCACCTGGGGCCCTTCCAGGGACATCGACGGCCCCAGGGGCTCTCCTAAGGATGGAGACGGCCCCCAGGGACGGCGGCGCCCCCAGAGGGCCCTGCCAGGGGCTCTGGCACTTCAGGGGCTTTCCCAGAGACAGCGGCTCTCCCTGGAACAGCAGCACTTCCAGGGGCCCTCCCAACGACAGCGGCGCCTTCAGGAGCCCTGCCAGAGGCGCTGCCACCACCAGGGTTCCCCTATGGACAGCTATCAGGGGCCTTCCCAGGGACGGCAGCGCCCCCAGTAGCCCCTGACAGGGGCGTTGAAGCCTCCAGCGGCGAGCCTAGGGGTGCCTCCAGCGGCGACGCCAGGGGTCCTCCCAGGGACGGCGGCGCTCCCAAGGGCCCTGCAAGGGACGGCGGCGCCCCTAACCTAACATAACCTAACTTAACCGAACCAAACTGAAACTAACCTAACCAAAAGTCAAATAGTTATTTTATTGGTGTGGTGGTTAGGACTGTGTTGTGTGACGGCCACTACTATAGCAGCAGCGCCTCAACATATTCTGAAATAACAGCCTTGGTTAACAGACCAAAATCATAGTTAATCCTTCCTACTTCTAGTTACACCCAAGGAAACCTTTCTTTATATTCTCCTAAGTTTAACTGTCTGTCTGTCTGTCTGTCTATCTCGTCCTTAAACATATGTGTATTGCTGGCCGTAAGGAAATAATGATAATAATAATAATTAACGGTGTATTGAAAAAGTTCTGCAGCCCGAAGGCTGAAAATATACATTGGACATAAATGACTTTTTGCATGCATTGGTGGTTTAACAAAGCCTTCATTAGAGAAAGGTAAAGGAACATACAGTGAACATACAGATTAATGTTTACAGCGGAGGTCACATATATCTTGTGCGCTGATGTGTTGAACAGCAGACACGTAGTGTAGTAACTCCTTCACAGAAGGTGTTATGAGGGGCCTGACGTGGTGTGTGTGTGTGTTGTGTTGGTCAGGGAGTAATGTTAAATACCTGTTGCTTCTTCAGGTGTCATGGATCAGGAAGCGTGACCTCCACATCCTGACGGTCGGCATCTTCACCTACACCAGCGACGACAGGTTTACGGTAATTAACTTACCTGTCTGTCATTAACTCACCTGTCTGTCATTAACTCACCTGTCTGTCATTAACTCACCTGTCTGTCATTAACTCACCTGTCGGTCATTAACTCACCTGTCTGTCATTAACTCACCTGTCGGTCATTAACTCACCTGTCGGTCATTAACTCACCTGTCGGTCATTAACTCACCTGTCGGTCATTAACTCACCTGCCTGTCATTAACTCACCTGTCTGTCATTAACTCACCTGTCTGTCATTAACTCACCAATTCGTCATCGTCAACTCACCCGTTCGTCAATAACTCACCGGTCGGTCATTAACCTTACCCGTCTTCGTCATTAACTCACCTGTCTGTCATTAACTCACCGGTTTGGTCATTAACCTTCACCCGTCGGTCATTAACTCACCTGCCCGTCAATAACCTACCTGTCTGTCATTAACTCACCTGTCTGTCATTAACTCACCTGTCTGTCATTAACTCACCGGTCGGTCAGTTAACTCACCTGGGTATGTCATTAACTCACCTGTCTGCTTCGTCATTAACTTACCTGTCTGTCATTAACTCACCTGTTCGTCATTAACCTACCTGTCGGGTCACAACTCACCGGGTCGGCCACAACTCACCTGCCCGCCGTCAACTCACCCGTCTGTCAACTCACCTGTTCGTCATTAACTCACCTGTCTGTCATTAACTCATCGGTCGGTCATTAACTCACCCGTCTGTCATTAACTCACCTGTTCGTCATTAACTCACCGGTTCGTCATTAACTCACCTGTCGGTCATTAACTCACCTGCCCGTCAACTCCTCACCTGTCTGCTGTCATTAACTCACCCGCCCGTCATTAACCTTTACCCGTTCGTCATTAACTCACCTGTCTGTCATTAACTCACCGGTCTGGGTTAACTCACCTGTTCGTCATTAACTCACCTGTCGGTCATTAACTCACCGGGTCGGTCATTAACCTCACCTGTCGGTCATTAACTCACCCGCCCGTCATTAACTCACCACCTGTCTGTCATTAACTCACCTGGTTCGTCATTAACTCACCTGTTCGTCATTAACTCACCGGTCGGTCACACTCACGTGTTCGTCATTAACTCACCTGTCTGTCATTAACTCACCGGTCTGTCATTAACTCACCTGTCTGTCATTAACTCAATGGTTTGGTCATTAACTCACCTGTCTGTTTGCCACCAACGGGTCTGTCAATAACCTCACCTGTCGGTCATTAACCCACCTGCTCGTCATTAACTCACCCGTCTGTCATTAACCTCACCGGTCGGTCATTAACTCACCCGTTCGTCATTAACCAACGTGTCTGTCATTAACCTCACCCGTTTGGTCAATAACTCACCTGCCTGTCATTAACTCAACGGTCATCTGGTAATTAACCTGTACCGTCTGGGTCATCAACTCCTCACCTGCCTGTCATTAACCTGCCATCCTGTCTCTCACAACTCACCCGTCTGTCACAATCGCCACCCTTCTGTCATTAACTCACCTGGGTTCGTCATAACTCACCTGTCTCTCAGTAACTCACCTGCCCGTCATTAACTCACCGTCTGTCATTAACTCACCCGTCTGTCATTAACTCACCCGTCTCTCTGGCTTAACTCCAGCCGCCCGTCATTAACTCACCTGCCTGTCATTAACCTTACCTGCCTGTCATTAACTCACCCGTCTGTCATTAACTCACCCGTGTGTCATTAACTCACCCGTCTGTCATTTACTCACCAGTCGGTCAATAACTCATCTGTCTGTCAACAATCCTACCTGTCTGTCATTAACTCACCTGTCGGTCATTAACTCACCTGGTTCGTCATTAACTCACCAGTCTCTCAATAACTCACCTGTCTGTCATTAACTCACCTACCCGTCATTAACTCACCGTCTGTCACACCACCTGTCTGTCATAAATTCACCCGTCTGTCATTAACTCACCCGCCTGTCATTAACTCAACTGCATTGCTTCGCTTTCAACTCCACCTCCCTGTCATTAACTCACCTGTTCGTCATAACTTACCCGTCAGCCATATTAACTCACCTGTCTGTCATTAACTCACCTGTCTGTCATTAACCTCACCCGCCCGTCATTAACTCACAAGTCTGTCATTAACCTCACCTGCCTGTCAATAACCTTTCACAAGTCTGTCATTAACTCACCTGTCTGTCATTAACTCACCTGCCTGTCATTAACTCACAAGTCTGTCATTAACTCCACCTGTCTGTCATTAACTCACCTGCCTGTCATTAACCTTTCACAAGTCTGCTCACAACTCACCTGCCTCTCATTAACCCGCCGTTCATTAACTCACCTGTCTGGCATTATCCACCTGCCTGTCATTAACTCCACAAGTTCGTCATTAACTCACCTGCCTGTCATTAACTCACCTGGGTCTGTCATTAACTCACAAGCCCGTCATTAACTCACCTGCCCGTCACAGACCTCACCCGTCTGCCAGTCAACTCCACCCGCCCGTCATTAACTCACCGTCTGTCATTAACTCACCTGTCTGTCATTAACTCACCTGCCTGTCATTAACTCACCTGTCGGGTCATTAACTCACCCGCCCGTCACCAACTCCTCACCTGTCGGTCAACTCACCCGTCTCCTCATTAACTCCACCTGCCCGTCAATAACTCACCTGCCTGTCATTAACTTACCTGCCCGTCACAGACTCCACCTGTTCGCCATTAACTCACCTGCCCACAGACTCACCTGCCTGTCATTAACTCACCTGTCTGTCATATTAACTCACCTGCCCGTCACAGACCTGCCACCTGTCTGCCATTAACTCCACCCTTGCCCGTCATTAACCTCAACTGCATTATCATTAACCTCACCAATTCTGCTCTTCACAATAACTCACCTGTCTGTCATCACTCACCTGGGTCGCCATTAACCTCACCCGTCTGTCATTAACTCACCTGTCTGTCATTTCACCACCCGTCTGGTCATTAACTCACCTAACTGTCATTAACCTCACCAGCCCATTTCAATAACTCCACATGTCCGTCATTAACTCAATTCAGTTCGTCGTTAACCTCACCTGTCTTCGTCATTAACCTCACCCGTCTGCCTTCGTCAACTCACCCTGCCTCGTCATTAACCTCAACACCTGTTTGCCACATTCTCACCTGTCCATCAATAACTCGCCACCCTGTCATTAACTCACCTGTCTGTCATAACTCAATTGCTCCCCTCATTAACTCACCTTGCCTTTATTAACCTTTCACTGTCTGTCATTAACTCACCTGTCTGTCAATAACTCACCTCTGTCATTAACTCACCTGCCCGTCATTAATCTCACCTGTCTGTCACAACTCACCCAGTCTCATTAACTCACCTGTCTCTCATTAACCCACCTGGCCTGTCATTAACTCACCTACCCGTCATAGACTCACCTGTCTCTCATTAACTCATCCTGTCTCTCACACTCCACCTGGGCCTCGTCATTAACCCACCTGCCTCCTGTCACAGACTCCACCTTCTGTCACAACTCCACCCGCCTGCCAACTCACCTGTCTGTCATTAACTCACCCGCCCGTCACACCACCATCTGTCATTAACTCACCTGTCTGTCATTAACTCACCTTTCTGTCATTAACTCACCAGTCGGTCATCAACTCACCTGTCTGGTCATTAACCTCCCGCCCGTCAATAACCTCACCTGTCTGTCATTAACCTCACCCGTCTGTCATTAACTCCGCCCGTCTGTCATAAACTCACCAGTCGGTCAATAACTCACCCGTCGGTCATTAACTCACCTGCCTGTCACTAACTCACACCGGTCGGTCATTAACTCACCTGCTGTCTGTCATACACTTCAGTTTGGTTGTCCTAGTAGTCGGTTAACTCACTTGTTCGTTACACCTACCTGCTCATAGACTCTACTTGTTCGTCATTAATTTCACTATTGCTAAACTCACCTGCCCGTCACTAGACTCACCTGTCTGCCATTAACTCACCTGCCTGTCATAGACTCACCTGTCTGTCATTAACTCACCTGTCTGTCATTAACTCACCTGCCTGTCATAGACTCACCTGTCTGCCATTAACTCACCTGCCTGTCATTAACTCAACTGCATTATCATTAACTCACCACCCTGTCATTAACTCACCTGTCTGTCATCACTCACCTGTCAGCCATTAACTCACCTGTCTGTCATTAACTCACTTTC